TCACCTACACAGTATTCGACTGAAGAAGCCTACTGTGTAGGCGAAACGTTTCGGAATAAAGTTGCCTAACTGTTGCCTATGTGTCTAATGTATGTATGTATGTATGTAAAACAGTAAAAAAATTAGATATTATGTACTTACATTATCTAGTGAAATTATATCTTCTTCCTGGTGAAAGCAGCTAGCTAGATTTTTCAGTTGTGGACAATATTTTCAAGATAATACTGTAATATTTCACTATGCATGTTTACCAGAATTACAGATAATGTTCTTTTTATGTTCAGTGCATCTTCATTAAAATATCCAAATTGTTTTCAAATTTGCTGAATCATATTGAGTGTCACTTAATGAAGTACTATAGAGTACTGTAATCTGGTATGTTCCAGTATTCCCACATGCAGACAATTGTATTTTATGTCTTGATTACAAATGTCTTTCGAGTGAGTGTATTAGATAATTAAATTGAGGTGCAGTTTACATTATTTGGAGACATTTTAAGGCCTTTATTTTTATTACACAATCTGAGCAACAGGCAGATTGAATCTTCTATTGGTAAAAACCACAATTTTACACAATTATATTGTCAGTATTGATGGTAAATGACACACTGAATTAACATTCTAGAGGGAAAGGCAGCTCACCAGAAGCCAGTGGGCAGAGGAACTGTTTTTGTTGTGTGTTTGAGAGGGAAGATGGCTTCTTGGGTTCTGGGGTGTGTCTATTTTTACTCCTGTCCACCATACTTGGCACATCCTAGTCAAACTCATCCTCCCATTTTCTGTAACTAGGGACACACTTCACAAAATTTATGCTCTTCTCCTTTTTGTAACTAAGGCTTGTCATTATTAGCAACCATATATATATTAGTTATTGCCATTTTAGTGTGATTAGGCTTAAGTTTGCCCAAAATGCTCTGCAATGGGCTTTTTGCAGGCACACATAAATGCCACCCATCTCTCTACAAACATTGTATCGTGCTGAAATACAGATTATTATTATTATTATTATTATTATTATTATTATTATTATTGTTGTTGAATTAGACACATGTGCAACTCTTGGGTATCTTTATTGAGGAAAACGTTTCGCCACACAGTGGCTTCATCAGTCCAAACAAAGGAGAAACTTGAAGAACAGGAGGAGAATGAAGTAATCAGTCCCACTGCAACTTCTTGGGATCTTAATACTTGGGAATTCTTCACTTGCCTAACCCTTGGGCACCACCTACTTCCACATTGAACGAAATGTGACACCACCTACGACTGCTGCTCCTCACCTGTCTACGGTTTATAAGCTGCTTCTCCACTCATATACCATATTCTATTCAAGATTGATGGACTGACCACATCGACTCAAGGCTGAGGGACTGATTACCTCATTCTCCTCCTGTTCTTCAAGTTTCTCCTTTGTTTGGACTGATGAAGCCACTTTGTGGCGAAACGTTTTCCTCAATAAAGATACCCAAGAGTTGCACATGTGTCTAATACAACAACATGTCGGTTCTCTGAACCATTCATCTACAATCCTGTCAGACACTGCAACTTCTTGGGATCTTAATACTTGGGAATTCTTCACTTGCCTAACCCTTGGGCACGACCTACTTCCACATTGGACAAATGTGACACCACCTACGACTGCTGCCGCTCACCTGTCTACGGTTTATAAGCTGCTTCTCCGCTCATATACCATATTCTATTCAAGATTGATGGACTGACCACATCGACTCAAGGCTGAGGGACTGATTACCTCATTCTCCTCCTGTTCTTCAAGTTTCTCCTTTGTTTGGACTGATGAAGCCACTGTGTGGCGAAACGTTTTTCTCAATAAAGATACCCAAGAGTTGCACATGTGTCTAATTCAACAACATGTCGGTTCTCTGAACCATTCATCTACAATCCTGTCAGACACTGCAACTTCTTGGGAACTTAACACTTGGGAATTCTTCACTTGCCTAACCCTTGGGCACGACCTACTTCCACATTGGACAAATGTGATACCACCTACGACTGCTGCCCCTCACCTGTCTATGGTTTATAAGCTGCTTCTCCGCTCATATACTGTATTCTATTCAAGATTGATGGACTGACCACATCGACTCAAGGCTGAAGGACTGATTACCTCATTCTCCTCCTGTTCTTCAAGTCTCTCCTTTGTTTGGACTGATGAAGCCACTGTGTGGCAAAACGTTTTCCTCAATAAAGATACCCAAGAGTTGCACATGTGTCTAATTCAGCAACATGTCGGTTCTCTGAACTATTCATCTACAATTATTTATTATTATTATTATTATTATTATTATTTTCAACACACCAGTCATCTCCTACTGAGGCAGGTTAACCCATAAAAAGGAGTAAACTGTAAAAAATTTTCTTTTTACATTTAATAATTTATGCAAGAGAAGGGGTTACTAGCCCCTTGCTCCCGGCATTTTAGTCTCCTCTTATGACACATGGCTTACGGAGGAAGGATTCTTCTCCACTTCCCCATGGAGGTCTCCTTCAGTTATGATTCATTTATTATTTATCATTAATTTTTTTAACAAACTGGCCATATCCCACCAAAGCAGGGTGACCCAAAAAGAAAAACAAGTCTTTCTTTTTACATTTAGTAATTTATACAGGAGAAGGGGTTACTAGCCCCTTGCTCCCAGCATTTAAGTTGCCTCTTATGATATGCATGGCTTTTGAAGGAATAATTTTTTCCACATTTCTGCGGAGATAAGAGGAATTAAAGAAGAATAACTCTTAAGAAAATAAAGAAAACCTGATGGGTGTGTAAATATACAGTAAGGCCCCGCTTTATGGCGTTCCGCTAATTCAGTAATTTCAAATTATGACTAAAACTTGCTATACATCTCCCAGTCTTTCTAATACAGTGCGCCCCACCTAGTTTGTTTATGTTCTTAGTGAGCACATCTCTCTATTATGTCTGGAAATTTTCCAAAATTTCAAGTGTTTTAAAGTTATATCATATTTTATATATACTACTCTGATAATTATATGTACTTATGTGTACCTGTATCTAAATATACTTACACACTATGCTGGTGTGCAGGTACACATTAAAATCACTAAGAGTCTTTCTACTCTTGGCGCCATTTAATAATCTCTTGGGTGCTTTAAATGTCATATATTATGTTAACGTAGACATTTCCATTAATCCAACTACGATATTTTTTCAAAATTATATAATAAACACGCTACATCACATATAAACATGATACATACACCCACAGTATAAAAGTTGACAAATATGAGATTTGTTTATCAAGCGGTTTGTAGGAGTGTCGGAAGAATTACATTTTCTCTATTTAAACACCAGTTACTTAACTGTAGAAAAATATTCCTTTTGTATGCCCTTATCTATAGCTATTCATGACCCTTGTGGGTTTAGTGCTTCTTTTTTTTGTGCTTATAATAATAATAATATCATCATTCACTCTAAAAATGGTATGTTGCATGAGAATGGGAGTGTTGCTGTTTATTTATTTTGTACTAACTTGTCAGAGCATCATTCCTTCTAAAAATGATGTTACATGAGAATGTAAGTGTTGCTCTTTATTTATTCTACTGTACCACTGTGCAGACAACTTGTACACAATGTAAGGTGTTTGTATGAACGTGTATCAACCATAACCAGACGCGTTTGTTTACATACGTACTCTGCGGCTCTCTCCTCTTACTCGTTCTCTCTGTCTCTCATTTATTCGTTTTTATCTCGCTTACTCACCTCTCACCATACATTAAGACTACAAATATTTTAAGGTAAGTAATGAGCGTACTGTACATGTATATGCATTTTATCGCTTTAGGGCGCCTTAAATGTCGTAGTAGGTGGGGTGGCCAGGCGGGCTACCCTCTCCCACACCTGACTTTCTACAAATAAATACTTTTCACCTCTCACCCTACATTAAGACCATTAAGACTACAAATATTTTAAGGTAAGTAATGAGTGTACTGTATATGCATTTTATCATTCTAGGGTGCTTTAAGCATCGTAGTATGTTATGTGTGGGTGGGGTGGACATAGGGCTACCATACCTCCACACCTGATTTCTTACAATAAATACTACTCACCTTTTGCCCTACATTAAGACTAGAAATATTTTGAGGTAAATAATGAGTGTACTGTATGTGTATTATACTTTTTATGGTTTTTAATGCCTAGTTCTATTGCTAACTTCTTATATGTTAGTGTAAACTTGTTATCTGGCATTTACATGCATTTATAATTTAGTTTTGATAAAATAGTTAGGTACGTATCTGCTTTGCGGCGATGTCATCTTTGCGGCGTATTGGCGGAAGCCTGGAACCTAACCTGCTGTATAAGTGGGGCCCTAGTATGTGCATGTACATGCATGTGTACTGTGACCTGAGTGTAAGTAGAAGTAGTGAGATATACCTGTTATCCCACGTGTTTATGAGACAGAAAAAAGACACCAGCAATCCTACCGTCGTGTAAAACAATCACAGGCTTCTGTTTCACACTCACTTGGCAGGACAGTAGTTCCTCCCTGGGTGGTTGCTGTTTGCCAGCCTACTCTCTAGGATTATTATTACTGTTATTATTTTTTCAACAAACCGGCCATATCCCACCGAGGCAAGGTGACCTAAAAAGAAAAACTAAAGTTTCTATTTTTAAAATTTAGTAATGTACGTATACAGGAGAAGGGGTTACTAGCCCCTTGCTCCCGGCATTTTAGTAGCCTCTTACAACACGCATGACTTACGGAGGAAGAATTCTGTTCCACTTCCCCATGGACAATTATAATAATAATAATAATAATAATAATAATTAGTTTTGTAACCTACGTAAATGTATGAAGTGCTCATATTTTTATTACAGACAAGCTTTGTTCAGGGCCATGGATTGGTTCCAGAAATGGTCCTTTTTTTTTTTTTAAAGAGGTACAATTGAATGAAGTTCATTTCCCAGTAAAACTCCATTATAAAATTATATAAATTTCATGCTTTAATTTATATACATGGAATGTGTTGCAGGACTCTCTACGGATCTGCTTGCTACCCACAATCCTGTCCTATGATGCTCCTTGGCCAGTGCGCAAGGTTCCACTAAGATGTACTCCTCATTTTATTGTTCATCATTTGGAAACAAAAACCTACTGTGTTGTCACTTCAAGTTCGGAACCCACCCTCAAGATCTGGAAGTTTAATGGGGATGATAAGGTAAGATCTGATGAACTCCTGCTTTTCTACAGCTCATTTCATTCTGTAACCAGTTTATGAGGGAGTGATTCAAATGAGGTATCTCTGTTGTTCCCCTATATGTTATACATGTATCTCATTTTTATCAATTCCCTCGTTCAGTTTTCTTCAGTACAGTGGACCCTCATTTTTTGTAATTAATCTGTTCCAGAGAGTGTGACTAATGGCAAAATTGACGATTTGTGAAACCATTTTCCCCATAAGAAATAATGTAAATCCAACTAATCCATTCCAGACCAAAAGTATTAACAAAAAAAAAATATTTTTTTTACATGAAATATAGATTTACATACATAGAAAACAATGAGACATGAAGAATAAAAAATAATATCACACTTACCTTTATTGAAGACTCTTGTTGGTGTATGAATAAAATATGTCATTATGTATGTTAGGAATTGTGGCGGTGGCAGGGGAGTGAGTTTGGAGACAGGACAAGATAGTCTTTCAATATGACACTAATATGTATTAACCCTACACCTAATATGATATAATAAACAATATTAATAATTTAGAAACATGACATATACACTAGAATGAATAAAATATGTCATTATGTATGTCACAAATGGTGTTGTGTTGTGTTGTTGTTGGGTGTATAAGGGCCACTGAGTGCACAAGCCTTACATAGTGATGGTGAAGGCGGCATCAGAGGTGGCGGTGTTGTCAGTGGCCCTTATAGTACCTCCAATAACATTGGAGGAGTTAGTTTCGTGCTGTCCTTTTTCTATCAATTAATCACTTAACTTACTTGCTACACTGTTAATGCTACACTTTATCGCTGGCTGGCGCTATAGCCTTTATCGACTCGTCCTGCTTTATTATCGTACATATCATAGAATCACTGAAGAAGGCACATTCTCCCCTCTCTCTTCCTCCTCCACTTTGGTACTTTGCTATGAGTTCTTTCTTTAATTCTATCGTGTTTCTCACCTTTACCAAAGGGCTGGCACTAGGAGCTTTCTTTGGGTCCATGGTGGCTTATTTAGCAGTTGTAAGCACAAAAAGGAATGGAATATTATGAAATGTATCATATGAACACATGGGGTAACAGTCATTCTCTGATAAACAATGGCGCACTGACTGTGAATGGTGTGTGGGGCTGTTCAGGCCACTTGTATGCGTTTGGGACGAACGACTATTTGCGAGTCAAATGACAATTCGTGAGTCAATATTTTGACAAAAAAAGTTACGATTTGTGAAAATTACGAATTTTGATGCTTACGAGAAACGAGGGTCCACTGTAATGTGATTTTTTTGACTTCTTTTATGTAATGTGTCCACCCTATGTTATTATTAAATTTGGTGTTTGTATGTTCTACTGACTCATAGCTAGATTTCACAGCATTCTCTTTTTCAAGTGATAATTATATCACCAGAGCAGTATAATATTTTATTTGGAAAAATCTTCAATCTTTCTTGCATACTTAGTATCCTTTCCAACTTAAATATTGTTAATTATATTACTGGATCCTTTTAATGGTTTTCCCATGACTGTACAGACATAATGTTGATAGGTATGTGTATAAAGATGCAATGTGCAGGAGAAGCTTTTATTGGGATTATTTTTTGCTCTTGGTAGAGCTTTATCAAGTCATGACTTGTTAAAGCTCTCCCTTAAACATAAATGAAATATTGTCCCAATCATGACTTGATAAAGCATTATCTTGAACAAAACTGTCCAATAAACATTTATTCTACATATTGTGTCTACATACCCATACTTTTCCCAATATTTTTATATGTAGTACATTTTACGTGTGTACTTTAATCTCCTTTCCATCTTAGGAGGAAGTTATTGAGGAGAGAGATGAGAGATTCATCCAAGTGCAGGCACCTATATTCTCAATCCAGCTCTTCTCTCCTGTCAACTGGCAGGTAAGCTTTCATTGCTGAGTTAAAAGGTCATGTAATTTGTCTACTTCTTCCTCTTGCATAGTGGCATCTATTTTTTTTTTTTAACACAGTGGTGTTATTCCACTGAGGCAAAGCACCTAAAAAGGAAAACGAAAGTAGACTCTGAGAGTAATATTAATTTCGGGGATCTGGACAATGAAAGGGTTAATGTTTTTTTTTTTTTTCCAAGTGCACATTTTCTTGTTATAGACTTATGTTAATGAAGATTTTCTTTTGCAGATGATCCCCAACACAGACTACTACTTAGAACCTTGGGAGCATGTCACTTGCTTCAAGAATGTTATCCTAGCCTATGAGGGAGACAGATCTGGTCTTAGGGGCTACCTTGCCCTTGGCACAACCTATTGGTATGATTTCAGTATTTTTTCAAACCGTTCTTTCTTTCTTTCAATGCACCAGCCATATCCCACTGAGGTGGGGTGGCCCAAAAGGAAAAACGAAAGTTTCGCCTTTTAAATTTAGTAATATATACGGCAGAAGGGGTTACTAGCCCCTTGCTCCCGGCATTTTAGTCGCCTCTTACAACACGCATGGCTTATGGAGGAAGAATTCTGTTCCACTTCCCCATGGAGATAAGAGGAAATAAACAAGAACAAGAACTAGAAAGAAAATAGAAGAAAACCCAGAGGGGTATGTATATATGTATATGCATGTACATACATGTATGTATAGTGTGTCCTAAGTGTAAGTAGAAGTAGCAAGACGTACCTGAAATCTTGCATGTTTATGAAACAGAAAAAAGGACACCAGCAATCCTACCATCATGTTAAACAATTACAGGCTTTTGTTTTACACTGACTTGGCAGGACGGTAGTACCTCCCTGGGCGGTTGCTGCCTTCCAACCTACTACTATATTTCTAAAATTATGGTTTACAATTATCACATTATAGGTAGTAGGTTGGTACACAACAACTTCCCAGGGAGGTACTACCCTCCTACCAAGTGAGTGTAAAACGAAAGCCTGTAATTATTTTACATGATGGTAGGATTGCTGGTGTCCTTTTTTCTGTTTCATAAACATGCAAGATTTCAGGTACATCTTGCTACTTCTACTTACACTTAGGTCACACTACACATACATGTACAAGCATATATATACATACCTCTCTGGGTTTTCTTCTATTTACTTTCTAGTTCTTGTTCTTGTCTATTTCCTGTTATCTCCATGGGGAAGTGGAACAGAATTCTTCCTCTGTAAGCCATGCGTGTTGTAAGAGGCGGCTAAAATGCCGGGAGCAAGGGGCTAGTAACCCCTTCTCCTGTATATATTACTAAATTTAAAAGGCGAAACTTTGGTTTTTCCTTTTGGGCCACCCCGCCTCAGTGGGATACGGCTGGTACGTTGAAAGAAGAAGAATTATCACATAGTTTATAAAGTTATGGCACATTTCTCCACTATACATATTACCCTGCAATGAAGAAACCTGCATAACACCAGTCTCTATATAGTTTTTCTACTCTTGCAGCCTAGTCTGAGGTTGGGCTTCTTAGAAATATTTTTGCTACTTGTAGGCCACAAACTTATAAAACTATCACAGCACTTTTAGGAACCTGTAGCTGTATGAACCTTGTGGGTTTAATGCTTACTTTTGATTATAATAGTAATTAGAAACCTGTAATGCTTTCTCTTGAAGACTGTTACCAGCACATTTGTTTCAGCAATATTTCTCATATTGTTGGTAGAAAGTTGAAAAGTATTGGTCTTTCTGATGTTCATATATTGTTGTCTAATAGTATTTACAGCACCCCTACTTTTAATTTTGTTAATCTTGAACCCAGTATCATATCTGGTTTTGGTAAATTTCGTCATTCTTATTAGTAATTCTGAAGACTCATCATTCAGTTATATTTTGCTTATGGTAACTAAATTATTTATGTTAATTAGTTTTATGAAATTGTCAACATCTATCTTGATTAATTTTATCTTATTAACACATTGACCATTGCCCACCGAGGCAGGATGACCCAAAAAAGAAGAAATACTTTCATGATCATCACTCACTCAATCACTGTCTTGCCAGAGGCATGCTGACACAACAGTTAAAACACTGCAATATATTTACACCTCTCCTTCAGAGTGCACATACACTGTACTTCCCACCTCCAGGACTCGAGTCCAGCTAACCAGTTTCCCTGACTCCCTTCATAAATGTTACTTTGCTCACACTCCAACAGCACGTCAAGTCATAAAAACCACTTGCCTCTACTCTCTCCTATCTAACATGTGAGTACGTTAGATAGGAGAGAGTGGAGGCAAAATTCTTCTCATTGTTTATCCATCTAGTTCTGACTCTGCTCTTATTCTGTTTACTAGTATATAATTTCTTTTCATTTGTATTTCTTCCTTGTAAATTTTCTACATTTCTGTAATGTGTTATCTTACTTTTTGTACAATCTGAACTAAGCTCTTAATTTTCAGCTTTGGTGAAGATATTACTTGCCGAGGACGCATCCTGATTTTCGACGTTATTGATGTTGTGCCCGAGCCAGGACAGCCACTCACCAAAAATCGTTTAAAAATGCTATACGAAGGCGAGCAGAAGGGACCAATCACGGCTTTAGCTCATTGCCGTGGCCTCCTTGTGTCAGCCATTGGACAAAAGGTGAGGGGACTTGTGAGTGGAAGCAGAGTGGACAGATTTAGAATGATATATACTGAGCAAGTGAAAGTATTAGGAGATAATGTTGCTATTGTTACTCAGTTCCTGCTTTTGATTATGGCTTTCTTACTGCCTGTATTGAGGTGTGCCTATGCTTTCATATCCCTATAACTTTAGTTTCATATTAACAGTTTAATTCTTCTGGCTATCATTTTTTAGTTCTTTTCTCAGTTCACCTTTGTACTCATAATAAGGATGACATTTTAAAACACGCACACATACACACACGCATGTACACTTTCTTTCTTTCTTTCAACACACCAGCCGTATCCCACGAAGGCAGGGTGGCCCAAAAAGAAAAACGAAAGTTCCTCTTTTTAAATTTAGTAATTTATACAGGAGAAGGGGTTACTAGCCCCTTGCTCCGGCATTTTAGTCGCCTCTTACGACACGCATGGCTTACGGAGGAAGAATTCTGTTCCACTTCCCCATGGAGAACGCATGTACACACGTGTGTTTATTGCCAGCCCTGTCACCTGTGGGCAGTAAACTGCCTAAGTGAAAGCATAGTTTAATTCAGTCTCTTTGTATCATTGTTGTTACTTCTTTTTTGTTACTGATTAACAAAAAAAATAAAAACAAAGTTGCACACATGCATATTTGTCTTTTGTCTATAAATTAGCTTGGATGTCTCACATGCAGTACATCCAGTTTTTTAACCTTAATGCTTTGCTTTTAAAAATAACTTATATTATCTTTTCAGGTGTATATCTGGCAGTTGAAGAACACAGATTTGGTGGGCATAGCATTTATAGATACTCAGATCTACGTGCACCAGTTGACCTGCATTAAGAGTCTTATTCTTGCTGCCGACATCTGCAAGTCTATTCTTCTGTTACGTTTCCAAGAAGAGAACAGAACACTCTCTCTTGTCTCCAGGGTAAAAAGCTATAGAATTTCAGAGTTTTCTTTAATTTCCTTTGATTTGTATAAAAAGAGCAAGGATATTGCCTTTTAATTCTCAATATTAATTAATGCATATTCTTGAATAATTTTTTCCCTCAGTACTCCGCATCTTCCCTCTTCTTCATAAATAAAAATTGTGATAAATGATTGAACATATATTTTTACTATTTATTTTTAACAAATGTTGATGTTGAAAAATACTATATATAAGGTACCATAATACTAATTCATATACTAACGACTACTCTTTACTACAGGACTTAAAGCCTCTCCAGGTCTATGGTATTCAGTATCTTGTGGACAACACTTCTTTGGCTTTCATAGCTAGTGATGCCGACAGAAATTTAGTGGTGTTTACGTATAATCCAGAGTCTCATGAGAGTGCAGGTGGGACGCGCCTCATACGGAAAGGAGACTTTCATTTGGGTTCTCATGTAAATTGTTTCTTTAGGTAAGACTCACATAGGAAGTTAATTAAATTTACTCTAAGAAAACTTATGATGTATGGGTAAAACCAGTAAGGTATTTGTTTCACAGTAAAATACAATTGCCTTTTCAAAAAGTACTTCTATTTTAGTAGTATACACAAGGAGAGAGACCCTGCCTTGGTAGGATACAGCCAGTTCATTGAAAAAATGGAAAGATTTTACCTTAAAATAACTTAATTGGCAATAAAGACATTCCATTAATTATGGATAATGACATGGCTAGGGTACAGGTTATTTTACTAACCCTGATAATTTTCTGACTTTATCCATGTTTGGGTTTGTTGACTTTCCCCCTAAGTATAACAGTAATTACAGTAACTTGTATTCTGTACTGCAACATCTGCTAATTGGCTTTACTAGTTTTTTAACTTTTTTTTTTTTTACCTCAACAGCTGTCTCTTGTCGAAGCAGGATAACCCAAAGGAAACACTGTCACCATCATTCATTAAATATCTGTATTTCCAGATGTGTTGGGTTTAGCGCTCCCCCATGATTATAATAATAATAATTTACAGATGTGTGCTGATATCACAATTCAAATTATCTGCCAAATGCAACATTCCCACTGCTCTTGTGGAGTGTAGGCACTAATTTCCACCTCCAGGACTCAAGTCCAGCTAACCAGTTTCCATGGATTCTTTCATAAATGTTACCTTGCTCATACTCCAACAGCACATGTCATAAAAACCACTTGCCTCCAATCCAGTGTAATATGCTTACATAAGCCTGTTGGATGTTCATGTCCCTAGCACTCAAAACAACCTTTACTCTCTCCAACCCTTCCTGGGATGACCCTTACCACCTCCCTCCTACCACTCCAGATTTATATACCCTCCTGATCATCCTATTTTGCTTCAGCCTCTGAAATGTCCAAACTCCATCAGCAACCCTTTCTCAGCTTTCTGAATTATACTCCTGGTGATCCCACACCTTTTAATCTTTGCTCCAAATTCTCGGCATAATATTTACACCACACATTGCCGTTGAATAAAACATCTCCACTGCCACTTGCCTCCTCCTTGCTGCAACATTTGAAACCCATTCTTCACACCCATTCATTAACATTGTTACGTATATGGATAAAGTTCTTGTTCTCCACAGATCCTTGACACACCACCCACTTTTTTTCCTTTGTCTGTTGTATGGTTCACCTCATCTTTCTTAGACCCATCCACCAAAAAGTTCACTTCCACTATCCAAACATATTTACATCCTTCAATTACCTAGATTTTTTTTTTTTTACTCAATGCCTTTCTATTTCCTATGTTCAGTTTTTATTTCCTTCTTTTTCTTTTTTTTTTTTTTTTTTTTTTTCAACAAGTCGGCCGTCTCCCACCGAGGCAGGGTGACCCCAAAAAAAAAGAAAGAAAATCCCCAAAAAGAAAATACTTTCATCATCATTCAACACTTTCACCACACTCACACATTATCACTGCTTTTGCAGAGGTGCTCAGAATACAACAGTTTAGAAGCATATACGTATAGAGATACACAACATATCCCTCCAAACTGCCAATATCCCAAACCCCTCCTTTAAAGTGCAGGCATTGTACTTCCCATTTCCAGGACTCAAGTCCGACTATATGAAAATAACCGGTTTCCCTGAATATTATATTATATTTTATTATTATTATCACACCGGCCGATTCCCACCAAGGCAGGGTGGCCCGAAAAAGAAAAACTTTCACCATCATTCACTCCATCACTGTCTTGCCAGAAGGGTGCTTTACACTACAGTTTTTAAACTGCAACATTAACACCCCTCCTTCAGAGTGCAGGCACTGTACTTCCCATCTCCAGGACTCAAGTCCGGCCTGCCGGTTTCCCTGAATCCCTTCATAAATGTTACTTTGCTCACACTCCAACAGCACGTCAAGTATTAAAAACCATTTGTCTCCATTCACTCCTATCAAACACGCTCACGCATGCCTGCTGGAAGTCCAAGCCCCTCGCACACAAAACCTCCTTTACCCCCTCCCTCCAACCCTTCCTAGGCCGACCCCTCCCCCGCCTTCCTTCCACTACAGACTGATACACTCTTGAAGTCATTCTGTTTCGCTCCATTCTCTCTACATGTCCGAACCACCTCAACAACCCTTCCTCAGCCCTCTGGACAACAGTTTTGGTAATCCCGCACCTCCTCCTAACTTCCAAACTACGAATTCTCTGCATTATATTCACACCACACATTGCCTCAGACATGACATCTCCACTGCCTCCAGCCTTCTCCTCGCTGCAACATTCATCACCCACGCTTCACACCCATATAAGAGCGTTGGTAAAACTATACTCTCATACATTCCCCTCTTTGCCTCCAAGGACAAAGTTCTTTGTCTCCACAGACTCCTAAGTGCACCACTCACTCTTTTTCCCTCATCAATTCTATGATTCACCTCATCTTTCATAGACCCATCCGCTGACACGTCCACTCCCAAATATCTGAATACGTTCACCTCCTCCATACTCTCTCCCTCCAATCTGATATTCAATCTTTCATCACCTAATCTTTTTGTTATCCTCATAACCTTACTCTTTCTGTATTCACCTTTAATTTCCTTCTTTTGCACACCCTACCAAATTCATCCACCAATCTCTGCAACTTCTCTTCAGAATCTCCCAAGAGCACAGTGTCATCAGCAAAGAGCAGCTGTGACAACTCCCACTTTGTGTGTGATTCTTTATCTTTTAAACTCCACGCCTCTTGCCAAGACCCTCGCATTTACTTCTCTTACAACCCCATCTATAAATATATTAAACAACCACGGTGACATCACACATCCTTGTCTAAGGCCTACTTTTACTGGGAAAAAATTTCCCTCTTTCCTACATACTCTAACTTGAGCCTCACTATCCTCGTAAAACTCTTCACTGCTTTCAGTAACCTACCTCCTACACCATACACTTGCAACATCTGCCACATTGCCCCCTATCCACCCTGTCATACGCCTTTTCCAAATCCATAAATGCCACAAACACCTCTTTAGCCTTATCCAAATACTGTTCACTTATATGTTTCACTGTAAACACCTGGTCCACACACCCCTACCTTTCCTAAAGCCTCCTTGTTCATCTGCTATCCTATTCTCCGTCTTACTCTTAATTCTTTCAATTATAACTCTACCATACACTTTACCAGGTACACTCAACAGACTTATCCCCCTATAATTTTTGCACTCTCTTTTATCCCCTTTGCCTTTATACAAAGGAACTATGCATGCTCTCTGCCAATCCCTAGGTACCTTACCCTCTTCCATACATTTATTAAATAATTGCACCAACCACTCCAAAACTATATCCCCACCTGCTTTTAACATTTCTATCTTTATCCATCAATCCCGGCTGCCTTACCCCCTTTCATTTTACCTACTGCCTCACGAACTTCCCCCACACTCACAACTGGCTCTTCCTCACTCCTACAAGATGTTATTCCTCCTTGCCCTATACACGAAATCACAGCTTCCCTATCTTCATCAACATTTAACAATTCCTCAAAATATTCCTTCCATCTTCCCAATACCTCACTAAATATTACCCTGCTCACACTCCAACAGATCGTCAGGTCCCAAGTATCATTCGTCTCCATTCACTCCTATCTAACACGCTCATGCACGCTTGCTGGAAGTCCAAGCCCCTCACCCACAAAACCCCCTTTACCCCTCTTTCCAACCCTTTCGAGGACGACCCCTACCCCTCTTTCCTTCCCCTATAGATTTATATGCTTTCCATGTCATTCTACTTTGATCCATTCTCTCTAAATGACCAAACCACCTCAACAACCCCTCTTCTGCCCTCTGACTTTAAAGCTTTTATTAACTCCACACCTTCTCCTAATTTCCACACTCCGAATTTTCTGCTAATATTTACACCACACATTGCCCTTAGACAGGACATCTCCACTGCCTCCAACCGTCTCCTCGCTGCTGCATTTACCACCCAAGCTTCACATCCATATAAGAGTGTTGGTACTACTATACTTTCATACATTCCCTTCTTTGCCTCCATAGATAACGTTTTTTGACTCCACATATACCTCAACGCACCACTCACCTTTTTTCCCTCATCAATTCTATGATTAACCTCATCCTTCATAAATCCATCCGCCGACACGTCAACTCCAAGTATCTGAAAACATTCACTTCTTCCATACTCCTCCTCCCCAATTTGTATCCAATTTTTCTTTATCTAAATCATTTGATACCCTCATCACCTTACTCTTTTCTATGTTCACTTTCAACTTTCTACCTTTACACACATTCTCAAACTCATCCACTAACCTTTGTAATTTTTCTTTAGAATCTCCCATAAGCACAGTATCATCAGCAAAAAGTAACTGTGTCAATTCCCATTTTGAATTTGATTCCCCATAATTTAATCCCACCCCTCTCCCGAACACCCTAGCATTTACTTCTTTTACAACCCCATCTATAAATATATTAAACAACCATGGTGACATTACACATCCTTTACCAACCTTTTCAACTTCTCTTCAGAATCTGTGTAATGCTAATTTGCCAGTTTTATTAAAGTGGGATTTTAGTTCCCATGTGATAACTTGTGAGTGTCATCTGATTTGCCTCAAATTTTCAGTGGTGATATTTAGCTGCATTATCAGCTTATGCTGTGTTCTGCGCTATTCATATTGCATGTAGTGACTTAAGGAGGACTGGTCTTGTAGGATATATAGGTACCTTCTCACATCACCCAGCAACTGAAACATGTCTACTGTATTTACCATCAAACCAACACACAGCTTTTCCTCAAATATGGTAATCAGCTATGACGAGAGATCCAGATATGTTTGATATCTTTATTGCATGTTTATGTAGATATTTTATTGGGGTTAAAAACCTTAGTATACCTATTTTGAATAATAATACTCTACTACCATTCCGGCAGTTTGCCACCAAGGTAGGATGACTCATGGAAGGAAATGCAGTCACTGTTACATCATTCAGTAGTTGTCTCAACAACCCATTTTAATAAGCAAAGATGTCAGATGTAGGGTTCAAGAATGAGTAAGTTAACTTTAAGTGGATTTTAGTCGTAAATGTGTTGATCGATTTTAATTTTCATAACTTTCAGAATCCGCTGCAGAATAGGAGATGTATCCAGTGATCGTCGAGTAGGTCAGAACATGGAAAAGCGGCATATTACTATGATGGCTACATTGGATGGTTCTATTGGATATGTTTTGCCAGTTAGTGAGAGGACATATCGACGATTTTCTATGGTATATAACCTGCTGGTCCAACACCTCCCACATATTGCTGGTAAGATGGATATTCAGTACTGTTCAGTAATAGAAGTAAAGCTTAAATAAAAGGCAATTATTTTAAAGAATAAAAGTCATAATACCAAGGCTGAAACAATTCAGAGGAAATTTTTGACATTTCGGTTCATCTTCGACCATTGTCAAGTCAAGTCATCATTGACAAGTCACAGTTGTGAATTAATAATGACTCTGGATGGAGGAAAACATTATGAAATGTTTTCTCTCCAAAAATATGGATATTTTGTGAATTAGTTTGGTTTCTTGTGAGGTTTATTGTACCTACTTCATTCAATTTATTATTGTAGGCCTGGACTAAGATTGATTACAATATAGTCTTAAGGAAAGTTGTCAGAAAATGACATTAAAATCTTAGATAACATTCATTGTGTCCTATCCTAACAAATGGAGTACACTACAGCATAATACCGTACGGAAGTTTATAGTGCATCAACACTTAATTGACTAGAAACACCTGTACATTATACTAAAAAAGTATCATGCTTTATTATCAATCATATATGTTTTAGCATAGATCTTCCCCAGATGGTGTTATTGTTTGGAATTTTAGTAGTGATTTGCACCTTTTTTTCAGGTTTAAATCCAAAAGCTAGCCGCACATTCCAGAGTCGTTACAAGCTCAACTCCAATCCAGCCCGTTCTGTTCTGGATGCTGAACTCATTTGGTCTTTTCTTCACCTCCCTTCTCCAGAAAAAGTTGAGATTGCAACAAAGATAGGTGCAAAAGTTGATGATATAATTGAAGATTTAATGGAGATTGATCGGATGACTGCTCACTTTTAATTTATTCCTTTATCATGTAAAAATGGAGTTTATGATAGTTTATATTTTGAAAGTATGTATATGAAAACTGAGGCTTAGTTATCTCAATACTAATTGTAATATATACTTTTAAAATTGATTGTGTATCATTCATACTTAGTATATGCATTAAATCATCACCATAGGATACTGATATTGCATCTTTATATATATATATATATGTATATATATATATATAATATATATATATATATATATTATATATATATATATATATATATATATATATTATATATATATATATATATATATTTTTTCAACAAGTCGGTCGTCTCCCACCGAGGCAGGGTGACCCAAAAAAAAGAAAGAAAATCCCCAAAAAGAAAATACTTTCATCATCATTCAACACTTTCACCACACACACACATTATCACTGCTTTTGCAGAGGTGCTCAGAATACAACAGTTTAGAAGCATATACGTATAGAGATACACAACATATCCCTCCAAACTGCCAATATATATATATATATATATATATATATATATATTATATATATTATATATATATATATATATATATATATATATATATATATATTTTTTTTTTTTTTTTTTTTTTAACATATCAGCCGTCTCCCACCAAGGCAGGGTGACCCAAAAAAGAAACACTTTCACTATCTTTCACACCCAATCACTGTCTTGGCAGAGGTGCACAGATATGACAGGTTAGATGTCATTCCAAACAGCATATATTCCATACCCCTTCTTATGAGTGCAGGCATTATATTTCTCACCTCCAGGACTCAAGTGTGGCTAACCAGTTTCCTTAAATCCCTTCGCAAAATATTACCAGGTTCACACTCCAACAGCTCGTCAAGTCCCAAAAACCATTCATCTCCATTCACTCCTATCTATATATCTTTTATATAGATATCTTATATCCTATCATGTATAATTAGGTTCAAGGGAATATTCTGGGGTATATATACATTGTGTCCATAATACCTGTGTGCCTTCCATACTGCTGTAGAACATATATCTATAACAATATCCTTTTATATTACAGTTGTATTACAGTTGTTTCAAGGTGTAATACTCACGAAAAAATGGAAATAGTCACATTTAATGTGCTTTGTGGCTGAATTCTACTGTTAGTATCACGAAATTGTAATAAATTTGGAATGAATCAGTCATCTCAAGTTGCTCCTCATAATGAAGCCCCAATTTCTGGTGCAAGTTATTTTCTAGCACCACATATTCCATAAAATGGATTTGATGTATGTTGTGTATAAAAATCCTGAATGACTTTGTTCAGGTTGCTGAAGGCATTTTTTTTTTTTTTATATTACAGACATGCCTCCTTAAACATTGGGCTAGTTCCAGAATAAGCCATTTTAAAAGGGGGGGGATTTAAAGAGGTCATGGTTCCAGATTAAAGATATTCCAGTTAATAGCATCGTGAAGGACCAGAAATCTCCAACAAAGAGGAAGGAGAGGTTAGTGATGAAAAATTTCCAATTTGAAATGTAGCTAGAATGTCTTCCAAACTTTTTTGATGATGGCTTTGTTGTGCATTCACTTCTGGAAATCACACACTCATTCAATCTTTGATTTGGACAGTAGATTGTTACAGGGTAGTAATGTTATAAATTTAATGGCAAAATTATTTTGTTTCACATAGATCTTGCGCCAAGTCTTGGCTTTCTCAATACATTATCAAATGCTCCAATCTTCAGAACACTTGTGACTTGATGTTTACTTTCTTCTCACAAGACCTTGCTAGTCTCCTAGCCTCTTTCCCTGTTATTTCTATTGGTTGTGAATTTATAAGGATCCAGGCCATTTAAAGATTGATCTTCAGTTTGTGGGTTGCAGAACATTCGATGCCCAGCACCACTCTCAAAGTATTCTCAGGCTTTTCCATCAGATAGCATTCTGCTCACAGTAGTGATGACCATGCATAATAAGGTTTACTTAAGTCATAAAGAAGATTATGCACACATGTACACATATATACTGAACCACCACATTTCATGTGTCCTGGTATTGTATTTCTACCTGTTCGCAATTCATTTTTTGTATCTCCACTTTTCAGCCAGGTCGTTACCTTTCATGATGGCTCTTTCCCTTTCTGACCCTGGTAGGTTTAGTGCTTTTTTTTTATTATAATCTTTCCCTTGCTATCTTGCCCTCCAACATGACCAGCTTTCACTGTGGCACAAGTGTGCAAGTTCCCCTCCCATGTACCTTGGGTTTATTTTATCTTCTGCTGTGCACTAATGCAACAGGTGACTATGTTCAAACTAAGTGCCTTAAAATAGAGAAACAAAACCACTTTGCCTGTTATCTGACAGTCAAAATAGTCATCATGAATGACTGAGGGATTCTTTGTTGTTTGGCTCGAGCATCATTTTCTTCCTGAAGTTTTTTCTGCACTGAAAGATTCTCACATTCAAGCTTCTCCTGGCCCTTAATATGTGTGTAATTCCTCATCATGTGTACTTGTGTTCCCTGATGTGTTTTCCCAAGTATCTAAGTCTCTCCCATGTGGAGTTTATTTCACCTCATACATGGTTTGTTTCACCCCATACATGGTGGTTAGAAATGTCAAGTGCTAGTTTCTTTGTGGTGTTTTTCTTATTAAATAAATTCCTGATTGTGCTGGATGGAATGCTAGCCTACAAATATTGACCTTTTTTAACACTTGCTGTTACTCCATGATCTAATGACAGAGGGAGGTGGCACCATAAGATTCTCTCAAGATCACATACGTAGCATCTCTAGCACTGTCTTGAAGACAAATACATCCACATACGCTGCCTTTTATTACCTTAATACCCAACATACTTTATTAATGATTGTAGGAGAAAAAGGAGAGAATGATCTCCTGTGCCTAAGACACAGGACAGATTCTCAGTATGCATAGGATGAGAAAGTTGATCCCATGTGTCAGAAACCATTCCTATGAGAATGGACTGAGAGCATTGAAGTGGCACTCACTGGAAAAGCATAAAATTAGGGAGGGGATATAATTGACGCTTATAATTGGAAGATACAGATAAAGAAAGTGGATATAAATAACTTGCTAAAAATATCTAACCAAGACTGAACTTGTGACAATGGGTTGAAGTGGCTGGTAGGCCTTTTGCAATGCTCCTCCTTTCTTATGTTCCTGATAATTCCCATGTTCATCCTGACCTGTTGCTTAATTTGAACCTAAATTTTAATTTTTTTTTTATCACCAAATATGACATCATTGATACAACCACTGGATCAAGGAATCATGAGGTCATTTAAGTATACTGACATGCTGAGTGGTGCAGAAACTGCTTGCAGCAATGGACAATGACTCAAAGATTGGAGTGCCAGAATTATGCCATAAATTCAACATTGTGGATGCCTAACCCCACATCAAAGGTGCATGGGATAATGTGCCAAAATCAACAATAATGCAGTCTGGAGAAAATTATGGCCTGGTGTGGTGAATAATTTCACAGGATTTCCCTCAGTTGAGTGTCAAGTTGAGGAAATTGTTCAGCTGGCAGGGACATTGCCAGGTGAGGGCTTTCAAGACATGCAGTCAGAAGATGGCAGTGAACTATTAGAGGAAGAACGAACTCTAGAGGCAATGTTAGTACAGCTGAATTCCCAGATAGAAGGGACTTAGACAGTTGAAGAGGATAAGGAAGAAAAGCCTGCAGAGAAACAGTTAATACTTCAAAAGCTACTTGAGCACTTCCATGTTGCTGCTAAACTTGTGGACTTTTTTTGCTGAAGAGGACCATGACACATCTAGAAGTGCTGCTCTAAACTGGATGTTTTACCAAACAATAATACCCTACTATCAGCTGAATAAAGTACTGCTGGGTAAAACACAGCAGGCACACATGACAATACTTCAGGGCTTCTGTAAGTAACAGCTCTGTATCAACCTCAGCCCACAAACCCCAGCCATCCACTTCAACCCAGGAACCCTGGTCATCCACTTCTGCCCAGGAACCCTAGCCATCCACTTCAGCCTAGGAACCCCAGCCATCCACTTCAGCCTGCAAACCCCAGCCATCCACCTCAGCCCAGAAACCCTAGCCCTCCACTTCATCTTATACCCAGCAGGGTCACACCATGCCTCTTCAGACATTCAGCAACGACCACAATTTATAGTAAGTGTATTCACATTGCTCGACTTTTAGTTGATGCTACGGTAAATCATCCTGTATTATACCATAATAATATGCTTTAATGTGCTCATATCTGCTTGTCTTTTAAAATCATTGTATAATAGTTTATTTAATGCAATTTATTTTGTACTTGCCCTCATTTTTGCTGCATTTAAAAAAAAAAAAAAAAAGCCACATGGGTGAGTGTGCACATAAAGGCATCAGTGTATCAGCAGTGTTGGGGTGGTTCTGCCCTTCTCTTTTATTGCTGATGATCCACATTTATCACTTTACACAAAAATTACACAAGTAACTGCCCTGGTCACAACATAATTTAACTACAGTACCTTCATCTCCATGACAATACATTTTTTTTTTACATTATTTGCACTCATCCAGTGACCAATATAACCTATGTACAGAAGGGATGGTGTAGGGTTTTGTCTGGTGTAGGCTCAGGACAGGCTGGAACATGACACTCAAGGGTATTTTCCAGTTAAACGGTGGCACCGAACAATGCCCATATCTATGTTGATATTCAAAAAACAAATGAACTATTTCTCTCAATCAGAAGCATTTTGAAAAGGTAACTGAAATTTAATGTTTTTTTCCATCATTTTATTGTCAAAATGGTAATGTCGTACAAATAGTATTTAATGGCATGTCATAGAAAATGGAGTTTGAATGGCGGATGAAAACACACCAGCCCATCTATGTATTGTAGCAAAGGTAGGTGGGCTGGTTGTGGTTGTAGCTGTGGTGAGGTGGGCAAGACGTGTACTAAGCTCCTCTCTCTAATGTGCTCAGGGGAGTCGCACTACCCTCATTCCTCTTGGGTAATGGCAGTAGACTTTATTAAATAACATTTGACATTAATCTTTACATTTATTTAACTTAGGAAACTGAACTTTTTATCTTGAAACATGATTTTTATCTAGAACATCATAAGATGTGGCTTGTCCTAGAATTTTTTTTTTTTTTTTTATTATTATTATTATTATTATTCAGAAAAACCCCTGTGATTCTTACTGATTCTTCCTGGTTGCACTTTAAATTTGACATTAGTTTGATCTGCAATAAAAAATTTCTTTACACAAACTCGTGTACAAAAAAAAAAAATTTTTAAAGTACAATGTTGACAGGAATTGTTCAAATCTTTGGAAATTTGACAAACCATAACTGTAGATTTACCAATTACTTTAAAATCTCTAGGAAACTAAATGCATTACTCAAGCAACATTTTTATATTCATAGGAGGGCCTAGAACACGCATGAATGTTATTACATATCTATTTTAGGTATATACTGTCAATAAGTGCAGGGCAACTCAAAATAATGCATACTAGAATAATGAACCTAAAGACAGGATTGTAATTTTTATACATGTGTCTGGTTCTGATATTTTATTAGTTGTAATGCTTTACCAGGAAGTTTTATTGAACAACTTTTCAACAAAAAATAAGTCTTGCATGCCCTGGGGCTCTGACTCAAAAATGGTTCGGATATGAATCCAGAACCTTTAAAACTATCCCCCATTTAAGAGTTGCTGTTATCATTCAAGAGCTGTAGACATGGCTCATGAAATGTTAGAAAGTAACACTGTTGAAGTACATCATAACCCACAGCGAAGTGTCCCGTCTCCCACACACACGTCATCACTTCTTAGATATAACAAATACTTTACATTATCCTCAGTTGGTACTGATCCTAAGTTTTCTCAGGGATGAAAATATGAAAAACCCTAAAAACCTCTACTTACCATTGGGTTAAATAAAGATTTATATATATCACAACAAGAATAAAAACTTAGAAACCATCCAGCAGTAGCAACAGGGAAAGACTACATTTCAAGGGTCCACTTGGTTAGTGCACCATAAGTTAGGCAGAATAGTCAAGAAGTAGATTTTAACTCTGAATTTTAAAAATGACTTAATTTTTTGAAAGTAGGACCCTTGTAGATTTAGCACTTCTTTTTGATTATTATTATAATCAAAAAGAAGCGCTAAGCCACAAGGACTATACAGTTCTTTTTGATAATAGTTTTTGAAGGTAGAAAAATTGACATAATACTGGATTATAAAGAATGAATATACCCAAAAGGTTAAAATCAACTAGGAATGACTATTAAAGCACAGAAGACTTCTCATTTACTAACAAACAACAAAGTAATGAGCAGTTATATTTGCCACTTATAATGGTCATCATTAAGTGTCGAAGTGGTTGAAGCAATTGAATTCAAAATTAATAAAAATTTTGGAAACCTACCTCACTTATAAACTTAGAGACACATGCAGCAGCTTTATAGTACATACTTTAATTCTATTTTTTTTTATACTTGTAGAACATGACGAATCAAGTATTCTATAATACCTCAGTCTATTCATTCTCCCCCCCCCCCACACACAAAAAAAATGAGCTTGTATTTTCTAATATAAAATTATACTCTATAGCAGTGAACAATTTGGCAGAAGAGCTACACCCAATCCACAGTACAAATATCCAAAGAATCAGTCTTAACTTATGCAATTTTTTTACAGAACTGGCAACAAGTAGGAAATATTCTGAGAATCTCTAATTCTTCTGCATGTAGATTTTTTTTTTTTTTTATCTAAGTGTAGTTCTTTTTTATATATGTATATATCCCATGTGTAACCCATCTTTGGTGTGATGGCTCAGCACATCTTTAGGATACAGTCATGGGACACTTGGCATTTTGGATCTTCTTCCAATACAGTTTGGACTGCTATGTTTTTTGGCCTGCCCAGTGAAGGGTTAAGAGCCTAATATCACTTGCAATAAAATCTGGCAGTAAAAAAAAAATTTACATTGCCAGAAACATCTAGCACCAAAAATACCGTTTTTACAGTGTAACAATACTGCATGGAAGAAAAATTAACAGTGACATCCTCTGACATTCTAATAGTTGCTCCTTAACTTAACAATACCAGTACTTAATTTCTGAAATCTGGAGTGTCAGACTATCCTTTATGAGCTATTAAATACATATACTGTATAGTTTTTACTTTTCAAACTTGACCAGCAGTTTGAAAGTTGTAGACAAGCAGTGTTAAAAAAAAAAAATCACAAAGAAAGCTAAAGTTTCCCCAATGGTACTCCCTAGGAGAGACCAAGTACAACCAATAAAAGACTACTCTACACTCCAGTGGCTTAAGACACCAACACACCCCTACTGAACAACCCATTAACCACCTAAAGTAATTTTATAACAGTGAGAAAAGCTAAGGATCATCGTACCATTTGCTGATCAATTAAACTTTTTTTTTTTTTAACCTATATGTAAACACTTCCTACAATGCAGTCTGTAATCAGAAGCACACTAGATAGTAGATTAGCCTTCAAAAAGTATTAAAATATCTTGCACAAATTTACAATGTACAAGTTATAATATGCAGCAGTCTCAAGCTACACAATGAAAGGTTAAAAAGTGGTGGAATGCATGATGAGATCTTGCAGTAGGACCATTCTAGCTGAAGTTAACTGGGCTATTTTTGAAAAATAAAAAAAAAAGCAAATTGGGCTACACAGAAGTATAAAAGATTAGGCAAAATAATTAAGCTGCCAAGGTTGAATGATTATGGGTACAGACAAATGCAATAATACAAGAACTACTGCAGTTAATGACTATGGGTACTGATACTAATAGTCAATGACAGAACAGCGAGAACATGAGAAATATGGAGGAAAGCCTAAAATTGTTTCAAGATTACAAGAAGAATAAAAACAATGCAAGGCCCACTCTGCTCAGTAGTAAGAGGTGACTACTGGATACATACAAAATTAGCAAAAAAGATGAGGGTATAACAAACATATGCTGTTAAAATATTAAAGACAGGTTGTAAAATCAGTTGCTCGCAATCCATGAACATTTGTCCTCAAATGTACAAGAATTGGTTTGGCCTATAGAGCTTTGTAACCAAGTTGTAAAGCTCTATAGATATAAACCAGATGATATTGTGACTCCTGATGCTTTGTTAGTACCTAAAGTCTTGAGCAAGACAAACTTATTAGAATTGACATAAAAATTACTATCACAAAGCAAAATTATTACTAACTCAGGATTAGCTGCAACAGGCAACATTTTACTGTCAATATTTGTTAACAAATAAATACCTATTAAATAAAATAATGAGAGCATTCTTTGTTCTCCCTGTGTGGTTATGATGGGTTCACACGCTTCTTCACATGTCCAAAGTATTCACTAAACTTTCTCCCCTCATCTCATCCAGAAAATTCACTCAAGTGGAATAAGGACCACATATGTATACTGGGCTTCTAGATCTCAGTTATACGAATAATGAGAATTAAAAAGTTGTTGGCACAAAATGGATGCAGCATCCTTGAGTTTGACACAAGTGACAATTATATTCCTGTGTTCATGCCACAACTGACACTTAGCACAAGTGGGTCTGTCAAAAGTGCACATTTGGACACTGCTATCCAGGAGTGGCAGAATGAACTGCATCCACACCAGAACAGAATTTGTCACTAAAATCCTGAACGCTATCACCATTTACGGGACCTCAGACCCAGTCTTTGGGCTGACACCGATTTGAGTGTGTAGACTGATTGGAAGAGTGGAGGCTGGCATTGTCTGCAGGTTCTGACGGAGGCAGGATAGAGGCAATGCTGCCCGAGGGACTGGCAGTGATGAGTGAGAGCTTTTCACGTAAACGCTCAGGCACTGATGAATATGAGTTGGTCTTTGAAGATGGCGGCGAGATGGAGGAATGCCTCCTCTCTGGATCCAAGGTGCGACGATTCCTTTCAGGGCAGGCAAGTCTCCGCTCCTTGGTAGGACTGAGAGCTCTCTGGGTCTTCTCTGGACTACTAAATCGCCTTCTCTTATCAGGACTCAGACCTTCATCCAATATGGATCGCTTTCTCTTATCTGGACTAGCTGGGGGCCTGTTATAAGCCTCCATACTAATAGACCTACGGTACTGACTAGGCCCTAAGTCAAAATCAAGTCCCTCTGGACTGACTGATTTGGTAACCCTTAGAGAGCTGTGTGTGCGAGCTCCTCGAGGGGAACTAATAAAGGCCTCATTTATGAAGCCCCTTAGAGGACTACCTCTGTTGCTGTCACATGGTAGCAGACCTCGAGTGGACCCATTTCTAACTGGTCCCATCTGGGGGCTGTTTGTGGGCCCACCAAATATAGCATTAATAGAGCTGAGTGACCCATTCAATGAACCCATCAGTGACCCATTGACAACTGGTTTGGCAGTTTTCTCCTCGTCGGCAAGGAATTTGTTTATTAACCAGTTTCCTTCACCTGTCTTCCTGTGTTTTTCAGGACTACGTGCCTTCTGCCTCTGAGTTTTGTCTGGGCTGGATGATCTGCGGGTTTTGTCTGGACTAACTGATCGATTCCTTAATTTTCTATGATCATCCTCTAGAGTTGCTCGTTTGTTTGGACTTCTTGACCTTGTGTGTTTGTCTGGGCTCTCTGCACCACGACCCTCAGCTCTCCGCTTCTTATCTGGACTTCGACTTCTGTGGTGGTGTTTGGAACTTTTTGATTTGGACTTTTTATCATTGCTACTCTTTGATTTACGCTTGTCTGGGTTCTTATTCTTGTGTTTATCAGGACTAAGAGATTTGGGTCTGAAGGTCTTGAAACTTATAATTGAAAATCTACTAGAAAGCCTGTCCTTGATCCGAGTATCATGAGGCACCACAGCCCCGTCTGTTGCACCAGGACCACTCTTCTCTGACTCCGCAGGAGATGTTACAGCACCATCAGGACGTCTACTGGCTTTCTTGTGTGGCCGGCTGAGTTGACTTTTTGCTGCTCTTTTGGCCTTTGTGGCTGCTCTACGCACTTCGTTCACTTTCCGCTTAAATGGCAAATTGGCCCTGACTACTGTTGGATGGATGACGTGATTGGCAGTTGTCTCGGTTGTACCGTTGGCAGTGGCTCCATTGGCCATGGTGCCATTTGCTGTAGCACCTGTTACAGGCACCGAGTACTGCAATGCTCCTGAATTCTTATGCATGATAGTCCGGCTCTTCAACCTGACAATCTCCGGTGCCTTCCCGAATACCTTGATGATCACCACCTGGAAAATTGCAACCTGTGTTAATTAAAGTGAAACATAACTAGCATTGACCTCCAAAAGAGACTGCTTCTCAGGGTATCATAACGTATCTTACAGCTTAAAGAGTCAGTCATTATTGTATGCAAAGACACTGTCTAGTCACTGAGTAGGCACAATTAAAAAAGTTCATTATACAAATGCAATAAAATTAAAGACTGAACTCTAAGGGTCTAATAATCTAGTTAAAAAGTTTGCTATAAGTAATGTTGCAAGTCTTTTTTCATTAAGATAAAGGATTTAAGGTACCATTACATTGAAAATGAATGTATATATCTAACCCAAAATGATTTAGGGAAACCATGTACCCTATATATGTGTGTACATATGTCATACCTATTCTTAAAATTATGTATAGAGTGCCTCCACTACTTCAATGTTGCTCCATTTCCTGACCACCCGGAGACTGGAGAAATACTTCCTTACAACCCTGGACTTAGTCATGTCTTAAACTTCCAGCTGTGTCCCCAAATACCTGTTTTCTGCCTCTCAAACAGCACCTTGTCCCTGTCTGCTCAGTCAATTCCTCAAATATTTCGTATGTTGTTATGCGTCTTCCCTGGTCCTTTCATCCTCCAGAGTAGCTAAATTCAATTCCTTTATCCACTCATCATAGCATATACCTTTAAGCTCTGGAACCAAGTCTTGTTGCATACTTCTGCACTTTCTCAGTATGATAGTGCTGTTTCTCCTCCTCGCAGAATACATGGTGACACCCTGTCAGGGTCTGCTGCTTTCGATGTATCCAGCTACTTTTTTTTTTTTTTTTTTCTCTCTTCCCTCACCTCCACCCCTGTATGTATGGTGTCCAGTACCTGCAGATGTACTTTTTTCCCTGGGCTTTCTGGATGCTTCACTTAATAGTGACTTTTTACATCATCCCAGCATCTGTTGCTGCTGCTATTGTCCTCTTGATGTCTTGTGATTGGTGCCCTTTTCCACTGAGAGGACCTGTCTACATTGTTCAGTACTTCGCAGACTTCCTTCTTTGGTTTATTTACCTTTTCTTTTGCTGTTTTTTCTTCTGATGTGGCTGTGAAGAAGTTTTGAGTCAGACAGCTTTGGCTGCTATGGTATTCTCAAATTGCCACTCAGCCTCTCTCCTCACCCTTGCATATTCATTTCTCGGTAATCTGCTCGGTTCTCTGTTCTCATCTGTCCTTTGCTTCCAATAGTTTTTTCATGCTCTCATCTAGGTATGAAGTTTTTCCCTTGCCTCCCAACACTTCCCAACTATGTATACTATCATCTTACCCACTGACTTTCCCACCAGTTCCCTTTCCCACTGCACTGCACTTAAGAATTCTGTAATTTTCTTCTAACATCTGACTACTCACATCCTCCACTTGCCAGTTTTCCCTCTAATGTTTAGTTCCACAAGGTACTCAAAGTTCAATGCTGCATGGTCATTAGTACCCAGTGGGCTTTCTTATTCATTTCTCCTATGTCAAAAATACTTAAACACTAGGTCCAGTATTGCTGGCATATCTCATCCCATCTCTAATCATATCCTTAATGTATGTACATTTATGTATATATATATGTACAGTGGACCCCCGCATAACGATTACATCCGAATGTGACCAATTATGTAAGTGTATTTATGTAAGTGCATTTGTACGTGTATGTTTGGGGGTCTGAAATGGACTAATCTACTTCACAATATTTCTTATGGGAACAAATTCGGTCAGTACTGGCACCTGAACATACTTCTGGAGTGAAAAAATATCGTTAACCGGGGTTCCACTGTGCATGTATATATATATATATATATATATATATATATATATATATATATATATATATATATATATAATGTGTATGTGTGTGTGTGTGTGTGTGTGTGTGTGTGTGTGTGTGTGTGTGTGTGTGTGTGTGTGTGTGTGTGTGTGTGTGTGTACTCACCTAGTTGAGGTTGCAGGGGTCGATTCCAAGCTCCTGGCCCCGCCTCTTCACTGGTCGCTACTAGGTCACTCTCCCTGAACCATGAGCTTTATCGTACCTCTGCTTAAAGCTATGTATGGATCCTGACTCCACTACATCACTTCCCAAACTATTCCACTTCCTGACTACTCTGTGGCTGAAGAAATACTTCCTAACATCCCTTTGATTCATCTGTGTCTTCAACTTCCAACTGTGTCCCCTTGTTACTGTGTCCAGTCTCTGGAACATCCTGTCTTTGTCCACCTTGTCAATTCCTCTCAGTATTTTGTAAGTCGTTATCATGTCCCCCCTATCTCTCCTGTCCTCCAGTGTCGTCAGGTTGATTTCCCTTAACCTCTCCTCATAGGACATACCTCTTAGCTCTGGGACTAGTCTTGTTGCAAACCTTTGCACTTTCTCTAGTTTCTTTACATGCTTGGCTAGGTGTGGGTTCCAAACTGGTGCCGCATACTCCAATATGGGCCTAACGTACACGGTGTACAGGGTCCTGAACGATTCCTTATTAAGATGTCGGGATGCTGTTCTGAGGTTTGCCAGGCGCCCATATGCTGCAGCAGTTATTTGGTTGATGTGCGCTTCAGGAGATGTGCCTGGTGTTATACTCACCCCAAGATCTTTTTCCTTGAGTGATGTTTGTAGTCTCTGACCCCCTAGACTGTACTCCATCTGCGGTCTTCTTTGCCCTTCCCCAATCCTCATGACTTTGCACTTGGTGGGATTGAACTCCAGGAGCCAATTGCTGGACCAGGTCTGCAGCCTGTCCAGATCCCTTTGTAGTTCTGCCTGGTCTTCGATCGAATGAACTCTTCTCATCAACTTCACGTCATCTGCAAACAGTGACACCTCGGAGTTTATTCCTTCCGTCATGTCGTTCACAAATGCCAGAAACAGCACTGGTCCTAGGACTGACCCCTGTGGGACCCCACTGGTCACAGGTGCCCACTCTGACACCTCGCCTCGTACCATTACTCGCTGCTGTCTTCCTGACAAGTATTCCCTGATCCATTGCAGTGCCTTCCCTGTTATCCCTGCTTGGTCCTCCAGTTTTTGCACTAATCTCTTGTGTGGTACTGTGTCAAACGCCTTCTTGCAGTCTAAGAAAATGCAATCCACCCACCCCTCTGTGTGTGTGTGTGTGTGTGTGTGTGTGTGTGTGTACTCACCTAATTGTGGTTGCAGGGGTTGAGACTCAGCTCCTGGCCCCACCTCTTCACTGATCGCTACTAGGTCCTCTCTCTCTGCTTCCTGAGCTTTGTCATGCCACTTCTTAAAGCTATGTATGTTTCCTGCCTCCACTACATCACTTGCTAGGCTATTCCACTTCCTGATGACTATGACTGAAGAAATACTTCCTAACATCCCTCTGACTCGTCTGAGTCTTCAGCTTCCAATTGTGACCCCTTGTTTGTGTGTCCCCTCTCTGGAACAACCTGTCTCTGTCCACCTTATCTATTCCACGCAGTATTTTGTACGTCGTTATTATGTCTCCCCTTGACCCTCCTGTCCTACAATGTCGTCAGTCCGATTTCCCTCAACCTTTCTTCGTAAGACATACCCGAGCTCTGGAACTAGCCTTGTTGCAAACCTTTGCACTTTCTCTAATTTCTTGATGTACTTGACCAGATGTGGGTTCCAAACTGGTGCTGCATACTCCAGTATAGGCCTGATGTACACAGTGTACAGTGTCTTGAACAATTCCTTACTAAGGTATTGGAACGCTATTCTCAGGTTTGCCAGGCGCCCATATGGTGTGTGTGTGTGTGTGTGTGTGTGTGTGTGTGTGTGTGTGTGTGTGGTGTGTGTGTGGTGTGTGTGTGTGTGGTGTGTGTGTGTGTGTGTGTGTGTGTGTGGTGTGTGTGTGTGTGTGTGTGGTGTGTGTGTGTGTGTGTGTGTGTGTGAGTGAGTGGAGAGAGTGAATGAGTAAAAATATAAAAATCTACACACATCAAAAGAACAACTTAACTCAACCAACTACTCAAAACTATCAATACAAAAGACTATTTCCTACACGAGTTTAAACAAAGGTTATTGCATACATTACATCTAACTGAAATAATGCTATTGATAAATTGTGTTGTTATTTTTTTTGCTTAGTATCCATGAAAGCACACTGCTGAAATTTAGTAAATAGTATAAGTACTCTTTCCACACCAATTATCTAATTAAGCCAGAATTCAGGATGCAAACAGATATTTTTAATATACAACACAAGTAATGAACTAGCTTACGGAGCACACCTGATGTAAATCATGCAAGAGGCTTACAGAACACTCCTAATGAAGAGCATACTAGAAGTTTAGCAAGTGAATGTTCTATATAAATGTTGCAGTACATAGGTGTAATTGACTTTTGCACATATCAAAAGAATACATTACAGCATAGGTGGCTGGAAACAACAATTTTATGAACAAACCTTCACTTTCTGTATGGCATGTTGCATTCTTTTTAAAACTTCTGTATATATAAATTTTCATAGTACAATCATTCTTGTCATTGGATTTTGATTTCGTCCTCTGCAACATGCAGCATACTCATTAACATGCAACATGCAAAAGTTCAAAAAGGAAGGGCAAGACACCACACTGATAAAATATTCCTGCTTAAAGATAAAAGTTTAGAATGTATTAATTGAAAACCCTAAATTCTTGGTGTTGACCAGCACAAACGTAAATCAATTTGGAGATTTGCCTCTTCAGATGTGGCACCAGCAAAGCAGGCTCAAAACATGCTGCATAAAATATTTAACTTGCAAGAAAACACTTTCATAAAACAAGACAGTTTTAAAGAAAATGATTGCTTGCATTTAAAACAAGTTTAAATAGGCCACTTACAGATAAGGAGGTTATGAAATGAGCCATGCACTCCAGCATTGCACCAAGGAGATTTCACCATGCTTTGACAATTGTCACTAGGGAACTTTACAGTAAACAAAAACTAGCTTCCTGGTATTAGTCTGGTGGAACCCAAATTATCTTCAGTTTTATTATGCTAGCAAAATACTACACTAGTGAGGGGCTCTT